AGTAAAATATATAACAAAAATATAGTTAAGAATTAATATTTAAATTTTTCAAAACAATTTTTTAGTAAAGAATTTTCTAATAATCAAATTGAATTTTCTTTCATTCAAAATAATTTCCATACACTTTTTAGTCTAATTCTCTGATTGAAATTTGCTAATAGCTGCTTTGGCAGGATATTGCAAAAGGAAATAATTTACTTATTTTTTTTTTACTAACATTTTAAATATTAAATTCTAATAAAGACTATTGATTTAAAATAAAATAATGTAACCCCTGAACTAGTACTTTTGAAAAATTTGTAATATTGAATTTATCACTTATGGGTTAGTCAAATTAGATAATGAAAAAATAAATTTTTGAAGCATCTTTTCGGTTGTCAGCAATTATTCTAAATTTCAAAACAAAATATGCCAAGATTTATGTGATGGTTAGAATCCTTATAAACAAGAGGTGATATAATGTCTTTGCAAGCTCCTTTACCATGATAATCAATTATATGATAATGATGAGCTAGACAAATTCTATCAACTTCTATAAATTGTTAATCCAAAAATGAAGTATAATATTAAATAAAGTTTTTCATGTTGTGACAAAACAGGGATTTCATAAAGTCAGATTTGATTTAAGGTAGGAATAATTCATTCCATGAAAGAACATAAGAATCCTTTTTGATAATTTTTTTATTAAAATATAGTAAATATTTATAATTCCAATTTTTTAACAATAGATAATTCTAAAGGTTCTCTTGATATGAAAGAATAAATTTCAAATGATTAGGAAACTTTCCTTTGTATTATTTAGAATTTAATAATAGAAATAATACATAACTAAAGATATCTATCTGTAATTAAAATTTAAATTTTTGCTAAGTAGGATTTATAACAATTTTTTTTTTAGAAATTCTTCTTAATACAAATGCAAGAGACCATCTGAATTTTAAACATAATAATTTGGAATTAGAGTAATAGAGGCTCAAAATAAACTTTTTCAAAAAGTAATTGATTATTAAATTTTCAATATGCTTTTTGTGTATTGATTCAAAAAGATATCGTAAATTAATCATTTTTCAAATAAATGATAATGTATGAAAAATATATCAATACCTTTACAATTAAAAAATTTTAAATGAAAGTCAAAAATAGTAAAAATTTGCAAATTCTTATTTAAATAAACTTTAATTGGACTTATTCTTAATATAGCTTTTAAATCTCTAAAGTAATTTATAAATGCAGATAATTTATAAAGAAATTTTATTTATAATTTTCTTTACTGTTAGATCCAATTTATAGTAAAAATTTTATATTTTGAAATAATTTTTTAAAAGTTTCTTCTTACAGGAACATAATTAAATCAAAATACTATTTGTAATCTTTTAATTATTTTCAAGATTTCTTCTAAACAACTTTCTTCATCTTAAATTTATTTACTCTTTTAATATTTACTTCTCTAAATTAGCTACAGCTTTCTTACTTGATTATCTTGCCTCAAGTCTTCAGTTTATGAATAACCTTATAAACTATAAGTGTTCTTTGAACACCATTCTCTTAGTTTCAAGACTTATTTTTCTCCCTTCTAAATCTTAATCATTTTCAAATAAATGAATAATCTAAATTCTATTTTTCCATTTTTGGTTTTAATTATTAGGAGTTTTTACAAAAGCTCATAATAATTTTGCTATTTTAATAAATAAGAAACACTTTGATATACCTATGGAATTACCTGTCATACAAATAATGTTTTTACTTAATATTATAAAATTTCTAAGTTGTTAATTAACTTCTCTAGTAAAAATTTATTGCTTCAGCAAATTTTTTTATTAAATTAAAATTCTTTATACTTGTAAATTATAGTATTTCTTAAACAATATTTATTTGATGAGAATCTTAGCCATCATAATAGTCTGCAATTTTTGGACTAATCTAAATATGTAAATTACAATTTTTCATTGCTTTTTCAAATATTTTAATTTGTTCTATTTGTAAATTATAAATTTTTCAAAATAATCATTACTTTTGTAATAGTAGGAAATAGAATTTTCAAAATTATTCAAAAGATATTTTCATAATATTCTATTGCTTAGTCAAATATATTCATTATCTAAATATTTCTTATACTCATTTTTAGTTACATCATATATATGCAAATAACAATGGAATTTAAATTTATACCATTTCAATAGTAATAGTCTAGATC